ATACCAGGCGTGGCTCAACGGAACCTCGCTCTAAGCCCATGGCTAGAGCACCTAAAGGCGAAAGGTGGGGAGAGTACCCAGGTGGCTCGCGTAAGGCCACGGTGTTCCGAAATGGTGTCCCAAAGTCCCAGACTGTGGAAAGGAAGAGGGGTAGCCCTCTGGTGGGGTGACCAAGGACACAGTCACACAGTGAGGAAGTCCTTGAGGATAGTGGGACTTAGTGGTCGAGCCGGTGGGCCTTGATCCAGTGGCAGTGTTGGCGAACACAGCCAAGGACAGAAAGGGACTTGGTGGGGACCGGAACAGAGATATTGGGGAAGGCTATTCCCCATATCTGTAGGCATCCTAAGGATGTTAAGGAGTGGATCTGGGATGATCCCTCATGGACGAATGACCCCGTCTTTGAGAGACGGGATTGGAATGCAGGTGGTGTTGGACCACCAGTGTGACCAAGGTAATTGGGCATGGCCTTAGCATAACGGGCCGATACGTCGGTGGTACCTTGGGGTGTCGATCATGGGATCGGACACGTGGAGCACTTGGACCAAGTGCTAAGGTTGAGTGGCATGGATGCCATTCTCGGGGCTAGCAAGCCCCAAGTCCTGAGTTGGACTTATGGAGGTTGTGAATGAGACTCCTCCAAGTGGTCGGAGGTGTGGTTAAGTGACTAAAGTAGAATGGAAAAATTAGTCGCTTACATTAATCTACTAATCCTTCCATTGTGTAGACCAACTATTCCATATGAGGCAACTAGTCATCCACCCGTATTGCAATCCCACGGTGGATACTTTCGTCTGGGATACTCCTCAAGAGGAAGGACGTACATATGGATGCCTAATACATACGATTTTCAAATTTAGGGGTAGAAATATACCTTGCTCAAGGGTATATTATATTTTAAGTAGCCACTAATCGATGGGAATTGAACCCGTGCCATTTGCTCCGATACCAACTGTAGCGCATCTTATCTCTCTCCCCTTAAGCCAACTGGAAAAGGGGCAATTTCTTTATGAGAGAGCCCTTAGTGGCTATTTTATCCCCATTTATCCCCCAAGGTTCCAAGGATCCACGGTGACAATATATCCAAATCTCATCTCATAATCACATGCGCTACAAAAGGGAGGTTATAAAGGGTTCCAAAAGTATAATAGGGAAAGTGTGGGGGTTGAACTTTAGTGGAACCAATTTAGCCAAGAAAGGCTAGTATGATCCAAGAAAGCTATACCCATGTGTTGGGTGATGATATAACTATTAAGGAGTCAAATACTAAAGTGAATACAGACAAACATGCAAAATAGTTTGGTGAAGTGTTCAAGAGCTAACTTTAGCTCCCGCAAGAGATGGAATGGTTAATGCTCCTAATCCAAGTATGGGTAGCACTACTTACTTAGATATCTGGTATAGTTCATTAGAACCTCGCTCTAGCCACATAGTTAAGGCATCTAAAGGTGGAAAGTGGGGAGTACCTAAGACGCTTGTATAGGGTCGTGGTGTTTCAAAAGGTTGTCTTAAAGTCCTAAACTGTGGAAAGGAAGAAGAATAATCCTCTTGTATAGTGACTAAAGGCATAGTCACGTAGTGAAGAAGTTTTAGAGATCAATGGGACTTAATGGTCGGGCTTTTGGGCCCTAACCCAATGGCAATTTTACCAAGCAAAACTATAAATGAAGAGGGATTTGGTGGGGACTGAAGAAAGAATATTGGGAAATGGTGTTCCTTATATCTCTAAGCATCCTAAGGATGTTAAAATGTGGTCTTATGAACCATTTATGAACAAATGGCTTAATCTTTGAAAAATTAAGTTATGGTATAAATGGTTTTAGATTACTAATGAGACAAAGGTTAATGGACATGGCCTTGATGTAACAAGCTGATATGTTAATGATACTTGGGATTGGATAAGTAGAACACTTGGACCAAGTGTAAAGCCTGAGTGGTATAGATGCCACTCACAGGGTTAATATATCCTTAAGTCAAGAATAAAACATATAGAGGTTGTGAATGAGACTCCTCCAAGTGATAAAAGGTGTAATTAAATGACTAAAATAAAATAAAAAATTTAGTTACTTACACTATCATCCCAAGAATAATATATAATAATCATCGTAAAGTGATTGAACTAATAGTACACATCATCTCTAGAACTTTTATGAAAGAACTTTAGCCGAACATAAGGAAGAGCAAGAAGAATTGCATCATGCGTCATGAATGCTACCATCAACTGAGTCCAATTATTTAACTGCAACCAGATAGCATCAAGAAATTGCACCAACTACTACTCCAAAGAAAAGAGGAGGAAGTTGTTACTCTGCCATAAAAATGAATGAAAAGGGAAAAACAAAAGAGAAAAATTTGAAAAAACTATAAGGAAAGAGAGATCTAGATGATATAAAAGTTAAATTAAAACCAAAATCCTAAATCTAAGCACTTCTCAAGAACAATCAAAATTGCCCCTCACCTCCACCAATGTAAGTGCATGGATGGAATATAGAAATGTATATATCAATTAGCCCAAAAATTCTAGCTTATATGCAAGAGTGAGTGATTTGAATAGAAATCAATCAAATAGCTATCAAAATTATATTACACTAGATTAGTATGTGGCATCATAACTGTACAATTAGACCTCACAATATATATTGTATTTCTTGACTTTTCTTTAAAACATTTTATTTAAGTGTTAATGTGCATTAATAGTAAAATTCTTTGTTGTAAAAGCTTTTGGAAAATTCCAAGGAGGCCGACAATGTTTCCTTGGTTATAGTCTGAAGCTATGCAATGTCCATTGCCAACAACTCTTGAGAACTCCAGAGGAAGCTTGGCCATGGCCCATTCCAAATAAGGACTAAAGAAAAAACAGTTTATGTGAAGAATATGGTATGGTCCTGCATTGACCCAAAATTCCAAGACCATGTAAATGCTGGGGGCGGGAAAGAGAACGCGTGTCCCAGTCCGATCCTTTCAAAGTTGGTCATCTTCTTTTTTCGTTTTTTCTTGTTGCTAATGGCGGCAGCTTCGGTTGCAGCAACAAAGGCGAGTTTTCTTGGCAGATCCATCAAGCAGCAGCAGTTAATCACAGCCCCCACAAAAAAGTCAGTATAGTTCTTCTGGCACAGGATAGAAAGGATGAAACTCCTCCCGGCTAGGGGAGTGAACAGAAGCAGGAGAAGACATCATTTCTGACTAGCATCACCGACGCGCTGGATTTCTCTCAGGCAAGGTCGGAGAGGGACGCTGATTTGATCGACGAGGCTCATCAGGCTACAAAGTCAGGCGAGAAAATGTCCCGAGAGCAAGTACCACGTCTTTGAGAAAAAACATCCAACTTGTCCAAATTTCTCATCTCTCTCTTCTTGACTTTTGCAGTACGCAGCTCTAAAACAGAAGATCGGTGGCTCCTACAAGGATTTCGTCAAAGAACCAATCGATGGTATTTACAAGTCTCTTTCTTCTTTTGAGTGTTTTTTTCTCCTCGGCTCTTTTATTTTTCGTCCTCATTTTTCTATGCCAAGATGTTGGGTGATCAATCAGTGAAGGGTGTGTACGTTGAAACTGGATGGGTGGACAAGTGATGCAAAGTTTGTGGCAACGACACATCGAAAGAGCCACGCTCCAAAGATAAACTCGGAAGGTATGCTCACGTTGAGTGCTTGGAATCAAACTCAAGCGGCTGTGGCTCGCTTGTTAACTCGATCCAGCCACTGGCAGCCGTCGGATCGATCCGCAAGAACGTGGCTGACAACTGCCAGGTTCTTCAGAACCGGCTGCCAGCTGCAAGGTTCTGGACAACCCGGTTGCCTCGAATAACATATCTGTTAACGGTCTTTAGGGCACGGGCTTCCCTCCAGAACGCCCTCGCCGGGCTAACACCCGGCTCGCCCGTTCTGGGTGGGGCGGGAACTCCTTCCACGAGTTTCTTTGATCGCCTCTTCGGGAGGTGATCACTTTCATGTAATATCTTTCTATTTCCAGTTCCACCATTTCTAAGCCTCCAAGATCAGTTGGTTTGGAACCATTGTATAGATTATTCCTCTTCCACATGGTCCATGCGAATTGATACATTGTTATATTGATCAGTTGTATCATTGAAAGGGTAGAAAAACAATGGTTGAATTATGATAGTTCCTCGAGCGTCACACACGAAATTATGATAGTTTTCCTGGAGAGGAAGCAAACTTTATGGAAGAAGCAAGCTGGTATGGACCAATGTTTCTAGTAAACGTGAGAATCCAGCCTGAGGATTGGGATATCCACAAGAGGTTGACTCTTTTGACAAACCAGTCCAAATGTTTGATCCATGTTCAACTTTGCTGGACGATCTTGGGAAGAGCTAGTGGAGCCACTGACTGGAGCCTCACTGTTTCCTTGGCTATGGCCTTGACATATGGAAGCTTTGTGATGTCCAACTCGTTCACAAGGTTTTTTTTGCCGACAATTATATTAATTTGGCTCTAAGCTCTTGTGAATTCAACTAAATGCCAAAGAAGCTCAGCCATAGCCCATTCCAGTGAGAGAGCCGAAGTATCCACAGCACCCAGCAACATATCCTATGGGATTCATCCAGCGTTAAAGAAGAACAACTTTGACCAAGAGAAACTTACGAGCAAAAGTTGAATTTTGGTGGTGTCCGAGAGCTTCTCTCTCATGGAGATGAGCACATCGATGAAAGCCATGGGCTCCTCGCTGGTGAAAACTGGAGGATCCCCTTGCTGGCCTCGTAAGATCGACAAGGGGTGCCTGTTTACCCGGTTCATGAGCTGCTTGTACTTCTTCTCCAAGCCTTGGACGTCCAGCCAGCGAATTCCAAGGATGTAATCGCTCACATTGAAGATCCCGGCCAGCCTAACCGTCTCCACTATCGCTTGCGCGAACTCGTAGACATTCGCAGTGTTCTTGTAGTGTCCACAGAAGCGCTTCCCGAATAGCATGTAAGTTATCACGTTCATGTTCATGTCGTGGATCTTTTGCCGCAGGAGGACCCGATTCCCTCACTCGTCACTGACAGATCGAGCGAGACGGCGCTGCTCTTCGCAACGGATTCCATCGTAAGCTTTGAGCTTGGTCGGCGAGAGCAAGTGAGTGTTGATGAGCTTCCTGTAGAGCTTCACTTCCGGAGTGTATTGGCTGAAAACTAGACCATTGTAGTCGTTGCCAAAGTATTTCCCGCACATCGGTGGAGCTTTGGAGGCAAAGTCGAGGCCATGGCGCTTGAAAATATCTCTGGCAGCTCTCTCGGAGCTGATTATGACTGTGGGCACGCTGCCGAGCTTCAAGAGCATCACATCGCCATATCTCTTGGAGAGTTTGTGAAGTGAGATGTGAGGGAGCGAGCCGAGCTTGCAATGACTGGCAAGTTGAGTGGTCCTGGAGGGAGATTTCCTGGAGGATTTCTTCTTCTAGTAGAAGAGAACCAGAGAGCTGCAGCAAGCAGCACTAAGGCACTCAAAATTGGGTGGGAGAGAAGATCCATGAATGGAAGGACACAGAGTAGTACACTAAATGGGAATGGGGATGAGGTCTTGCTTTCAAAACACACTTGCTTGACCTTGTCTCACAGTAACAATCTGGAGGGAGCGAGAGGGATTTTTTATCTCTATGCCAATGCTTTGTCTTAGAAGTCGCGTCTGAGTTAAGGTTTTACAGGAAGGTATCGAAGGTTTAATGCCCGAGAGAATTCTTATGGCTTAAAGCGTAAGGCTAGCAGCAAATGCCCAGTGGTGGCATATGCACTATGTCTTACCATTGGAACAAAACTCTTGTGAGAGCACCCCCAAGCCGTGCTATTAGTTATGTCCCTAGAGAAGGCTTGAACCATGCCGGTGTGATTATTCCCATTTAGAAATGTAAGAAAACGTTGTTCTTATATAATAGTTTGTTTTTTCCGGGTTAGGGTTTATGGTGGAGAAGGCGCCCGAAGAGAATGTAGATATCGCGTTCAAGGCGATCGGTGGAGGCGTATCACTCCTGTCGCCTGGCGCGAAGGCTAGTTCTGATTATCATCCAGCGCGGGTGCTTTCAGTGTCCAATCGGTTCGGCCTGACGTTCTTCGCCACGCCAGCAGGTACGATCCATCATTCTCCTGGCGAAATCGAAATATTTCCACTGTAGGTTTTGGAGTCGTGACGGCAGACGTTTTGGAGCTCTCGAGCGGACCCAAGCCTGCTTCTGCGAGTGAGAAATGCTTAGCGAGCGTGGAACTGGAGAAAGTCTCGATTGTGGAGCTTTCAAAGGACGAGCTCACGCTTGCTGTGTGTGCCGGCTTCGCTGTTCGATTCTACCGAGTCCCTTCTCTGGCACTCAAGGTTCGTCTACGTTGTCAATTTATTGTAGATTTTTCTTTGATTTTCTTTCTAGACCGACACTAGACGGTTCGAGATCCGCGACATCGGCGACGATGCTTTGATCAAGGATTTTCAGTGGTGTAGTTTAGACCAAGACAAAAACAAAGGAAAGCTTCTCGTCGGAAAAATCGGAGAAGAGCCTACATTTATGAAGGAAAATGTTTCTGCTGGTGCGTAGATTTATGATTTATCATCGTTCTTGTTAATGCATTTCACTTATTCCTTTTTCAGCTTGTTGGAGTCAGTTTGGCAAGCAGATCATGTATGCAACAAGCATGAAGCTAACGATTGCGTCGTCTGATTTTGCCAAGAGTTTTATCATAAATCCACGAGTAGAATTTCCTGGGTGCGAGGAAGGACTGGAAACTCATGGTACGTGTCTTTATTGAAAACTCGCATGCTGTTAATGATTTTAAGCTTGTTCTAGTTGATGCTTTACGCTGGATTTCGCCACAAAGCATTGTAATTAGCTATGTCCAGTCGGAGGACGATGAAGAAATTACCTGTCCGCTGCTTGTGCTTTCAGCGTCTGGTAGGCAACAACTAGATGAGGTTCTTATTTCAATTAGCGAGGTAAGAATACTGACTCGTTTGTGTTGGCGTTTTACAGGCAAGCACGGAGTGTTCTGCTTTAGCGGTTACTCGAAGATTTCCTGCGATTGAAGCTAGTATTATTCCACCCATGAACAGTCCGTATATGCTTGTATAGAACCTAGAACCATGGTATGATTTATATTCTCGGCATCGTGTTTTAAAGTCTTTTTCTAGGAAAATCGTGTTGACAACTTGTAGAAGGTCCATCGACGCACATGTTGGCCTTCTAGGCTGGCGGTCCGAAGGTGTTTGCTTTGTCAGATGATTTGTGGAGAGCTGACATCTCCATGTTTGGTAAGTAGACATGTTTTGTAAGTAAACAGTTCTTATACTGTATATCTTTGTAGATTCTTCGAGTGACAATGCCTTAACTGGGCTGGCGATAGATCGAACATCATTGTTAAAACAGCCTGATCCAAGAAATCCAGAAAAACTTCTTCCTCCAAGTCCGGTAATGTTATGCACGTCACTTGACTCACGACTTCTGCTATACTCGGTCCTGAGGTGATTTCGAATGATTATTGTTTATTTGTCATTTTTTATAGTTTACTTTTCAGGTTGGATGGTGAGAGTTGGTATAGCACTGGCCTAATAAGGATTCCATCTAGTCTTGAGGAGTGGGCATCGAAGTCTCCCGATCCTAAGGTTTGTGGCCTATTTTTGGGAATGAATGCGTAAGGTCGATTTATGTTTTAGGTGGATGCCGAAAAAAAGACTGTAACGCCAGTTCCTGTACGTGTGGAGCCCAAGGTTACCACCATGAATGGCATTCAGCCAAGGGTGTTTTCTGCATCAAAAACTGTGAACGAGCAGTTGCATAAAGCTCAGGTGGATTTTAATCAAAAGGAGAAAAAGCCGCCTTTACCTCAAGACGGAGCATCACAAATTCCTGTAGAGAGACAGCCATTTTCGTTTAAAAGGGAAGACGAGGTTGAGAAACGTTCTTCACGATCACAAGGAGTTTCTGAAATGGAAGCAGGCTTTCTGGCAGAAACGGACAAGGTACTTGAACTTTTGGCTTTTATACTTCAAAGTTTGTTTCTGCAGGTGAAGAAAATCGTTGATGATATTGATGGATTTATGCATATTATCGAGAAAGATTCTCTTGGATCCGGTTTAACAAGGTCTGGGGTGGACAAGCTGGAAAACGAAATTGTAGCCGTTTCAGCGCGATGCCGTAGTTTTAAGGTAATCTTCCAGGAAATGTTCGGTGTGATGGTTACATTCTTTAAAATCCAGCAAAACTGCAAGAGAACTGTCAGTTTGTTGAGGAGCTTCGGGATCAAAGCCTTGATGGTATTACTGTCCTTTATTACGACTAACAGTTTGAGCTGGAAATTTAGTTGACGCATGGATAATTAGGCGGTACCAGGACCTCTGGGTTCACCGCAAGCTTCACCCGGAAATGGACATCAAGCGAAAGCATGTTATCAATGCAGATGAGGTTTATACTACTCGTCCCTATGCATCTGACTTGGTATATGTAGAGATTGAAAAGACAAATTTCTGATCTCGAGTCTCATCTTCATACACTTGAAATAAGTCGACGTCAAAATATGTCTTCGAAACAACGGTCTACTGCTGGGTATAAATGGTTTTTGCAAGTAATTTTGATCTAATTTTTTGTATGTGGCACAGAGACTTCCAATCTATTCAAAGTCTTTACAGCACAGTCAACTCTCAGATGGAAGCAGCTGATAAGCTATCTGTACATCTCGCGGACTTGATGGAATCGATATATCGTCAAGTGTTACTTCCCTAAGGCCCCGGAAAATGCAATCGTATTTATTGCAGACCAAGCCACCGCAGACTAAAGCCGAGAGTGTTTTCTCTACGCCATCCAAGTCTATCTTGTGTGATGACTTCGCGCCGGTGGAAAGCACGAGAAGGCGAAGAGATTCCTTAGATAGCGTAAGTATTGTTGCGTTTCTTGCGTTTTCTATGCTTTTGGTCCGTTCACTTCACAGGGTATTGGAGCAACGAAAACCACGATCAAATGGTTGGGCACACACATGTGGTCAATAACCGGAAGGCTAAACTGCTTGAATCAACCTCCAGTAGTTTCCAGCCGCAGTCAACTTTGAAGCAGCCAAGTGTTACAGAAGTGACGACTCTCGTATTAGCACCTGCAGCGACATCTTTGGGTACGACGAGGCCTTCGTTTTCTTCTAGGACGGATATAGTTTCACAGAATTCTCCGCCTCCTCTTGGTGACTGGGGTTTAAGATCGCAGCCGCCTTCCTCTAATGCTTCAGCACTCAAGGTTCCTGACATCTCAAGAGCTTCTGGCAATGGTATTCGTTTCGTTACCGCCCCGGCCACAGTCACGTCAAGCATCACCACTCATCATCAACGTGGCTACCATCGTTGGAGTTGAAGGCTACACCGTTCACTTCATCGTCGACGTTGAAGGCTGCACCGGCTGTTGCGTCTTCCAGACCTTCGGACGTGGAAACTACAGCTTCCACAGTGCAGGCTACACCAGCAACTTCCACATCTTCGGAGCTGAAGGGTACACCAGTCACCACATCTTTTATCTTCAGATCTGAAAGCTACACCTATCACCTCAACTCCCACGTGCAGTGTTTCTACAAGATTAGTCTCCATCATTATTCCAGCAGTTGGAGCCGAGTCACATATAGCAGCGACATGTAGCGTCTCCAGCGGTTCCTCCCAGTCGCTTGTAAGCTCGTCGACCTCGGCTGCTCTTCTACCTGCAGCTCCACGTACTACATCAGAAGTGAAGCCAGCAGCTTTCAGCTTCCCGCCATCAGCGTCTCCCGCTACTGCATTATTGTTTGCATCGTCCTCAGCTGCTACGTCCACACTGACAACAAAAGTTCCTTCCAGCGGTTACAGCAGCTCGCCGGTAGAATCTACTAGCCAGCTGGTTCCTTCGCCTTTTCCAGCTTTGCTTCAATCTCAGCAGCAGCAGCAGACTACTCAAGCCGTGCGGCCGCCACCAGAGGAAGAGGAAGATGACGTGGACGAGGAGGCCCCCTCGACTGCATTCTCGGGCTTTGGGAATCTCGGCCTGGGCTCGGCCTTGCCTTCTGCGCCAGCGGCGAATCCTTTTGGCGTAACGCAGAGCCCGCAGGCCACCTCGTTCGGAGAACTGCAAAGCCACCACCTGATGCCGCGGCCGCAAAACCAGCAGCCGACGTAGCACTGGCAAAACCACTGCCGGTTGCCGCAGGAGCAAAACCACCGCCCGGCGAAGCATTTGCGAAACCAGCTGCACCTGACACTGGACCACCAAATCCAACTTGTCTCGTCTGTCCGAATGCACCCAGTGCACTACCCAGCGCGCTCCCAGCAGGCTGTCCGAAGCCGCTCGAAGGAGCCTGACCAAATCCACTAGCAGGCGCGGCGGGCTTGGAGAACGCACCACCTTCTGGCGCGGTCGTAAAACCTGTTCCCGGAGAGCTCAAGGAAAATGCAGCCGGCCTGAACAGCTGACCAGGTGGTGGTGCACTCCGGTGCAGCAACAGGTAAAAGTTTTTATTGTTTGTTTTCTTGGAAGCAATCAACTAAATGGGCGTGACAGGTGGTGGATTTCAAGCGCTTGGCCACGGCGGAAGCTTTGGTGGCTTTGGATTTGGCTCTGTACAACCGCCTGGTGGATTTCTCCCGGGTGCTGCACAACCGCCGAATAATCCACTTTTCACCGCCATGAGAAAGTGATGCAAGGTTTGGGTGTTAAGTTTTGCTTTTCGATCGGAAGTAAGAATCTTTGATCTTGACAGGGTTGTAGCTGCATTCGTTGGAGATTTTCCAGCTGACACGAGGTATATTCCTTTGGTGTCTTCCGTAACCCACACGAGGCAGTCGAAAGAGGTTCCGTTTGTTTCTTTTCTCCTCTCTAGTCGCCTGAAGAAATGTGCTAGCGATTTTTTTTAAACATGCAGGAAATGGTATTTGTGTGATCCATAAATTTTAGCTGCAAGTTCATCGTTCGAGATGAGCTCGGAGCGGAGGGAGGAGCGTGCTGCTGCATCGGATTCACAGCCAGTGTCAGCCGAGTACATTCTTCAAGTAAGAATTCCGCGACTCCCCATGCGTGTAATTTGCCTCGGCTCTTCCTTCCTGTAGGTGCAAAGTTTGATAGAGCAGTGTCTATTGCTCAACATGAACTGCGACGAATGCGTAGCCGCGTTGTCCACGCACTCCAACGTGAAGCCCGTTGTCACACTCACAGGCAAGCAAAGAAATTTCGTCTTTTACTAGTAGTTGCTCAATTAAATTCGTTTCCAGTAGTCGTATCGCTCGACTTAAAGAAAGTTTTCTGTGATCCCTGCAGTGTGGAACGAGCTCAAGAAAGAGAATGAGAGCTTCTTCACGGCGTACGAGAAGCACCAAGAGACCGGCAAGCACTGCCGAGCTCTGATGGAGGAGACGAGGAAGCTGCTTGCGATTGCAAAGCCAAACACTGGTGGATGATGACGAGCAAGCGAACAAAACAACAAAAGGGCTCTTGAAACGTAGCGGAGGAGAAGTAAGGAATGCGTTATATGTACAACGCTGGAGAAGGAAGCTCTTGTCCCTCTCACACAACACATAAGGTTTGTCGAAACTCTTGCCTTGTCTTGGCTTGGCCGTTCTACTTAACTGCGTGGATGTTTGAGTATTTCATTGTCTCGCCAAGGACGAAAGGCCTATCGCTTCCTAGCTAGACCCGCTTTGGCCACCACAAATATCTTACCGCCACACTCTGTGTTTCTCTTTGTTTTTCTTTTTTTTTTTCCCTCTCTTTTTTAGCTCGTCTTTCGCTGTGACGCTTGCTTGTACGCGAAGTGTAACAGGCTGGGTTCACTGAATTGTTCACAGGGAAGCCAAAGCTTTTTCGCAGCACTACAAAATAGATCCAGAGAATTCTTCTCGGCCTGTGACTTTTGGAGGTTCATCTGGGCTTGGGAGTTGATAGTGAAAAGTGTGGAGATTTTAAAAGATAAAAAAATTGAAACAAAAGGAGTTTTGTTTTGTTTCTTTTTGACGCTCACAGAAGATTGTCCTGTATAGAAAGAGGTAATATTTGAGAAAGAAAGGAGTGGTGATCCTCCCATGCTTTGAGTGGTCAGGTTCTGCACAACTTGTAGGTTGATGCAAATGAGTTGATTGATTGATACACCTCACCCAAAAGAGAGCTTCAACATTTTTCCAGCGACACAAATAGCTTTTAATATGACCGTGTATCCGAGATTTTTTAGTGTTAACCATCAGTTTAGTGCATCTAAAAGGTCTATTTATCATTAACATTTACTTTAGCACAAGTGTTGACCATTATCTAAAAGGTTACAAACTATAAATAAGCTCCATCCCTTTAGGGTTAAACGAGTGACATATGGCGAAGAAAAGGGGCTCAGGTAAGGGTGCGGTGAAGAAGTGGTGCGTAAGAAATGAGAGGGCTTGCAAGCTCACGGCCCAGCAAGTGAGGGAGCAAAAGCTGTACAACATGTGGGAGCCTCACGACCTTCCGGACAACTTGTACCAGTGCCCACACTGCCAAGCTTACGACACGCGATTTGATTACTACAACAACGACAAGCGCGACCAGCCGCGTTTCGCTTGTAGGGCACGGCCGTGCAAGAAAAAGTGGACGCAGAGTGGCAAGATAAGGGTAATATCGCCCACATCGCCCAGCAAACGGAAAGCCAAAACATCGAGCAGCAGCAGCGATGGAGGAGCCAGTATGAACGAGACGAGAGCCGGGCAGGGTTTTGTGGGCGAATTCGCTGGGGAATCATCTCAAACTCCGTGGCAACCGGATCAAGAGTTCCGCGGAGGTATGCAAAACAACTTCTGGGGTGGTGTTTGTGCAGCACAAGTTGGCGGAGATTTGCAAAATAACTTCTGGGGGCAACTTCCAGGGCTTGGTGGTGATTTTGCTACACAAGTTTGCAGGGATGTGCAAAACAACGACTTCTGGGTGCAACCTCTAGAGTTTGGTGGTGATTGTGCGGCACAAGTTGGTGGAGATGTGCAAAACAACTTCTGTGGGCAACCTCAAGAGGTTTTAAGTGCGCCACAAGTTAGGGGAGATGTGCAAGACAACTTTTGGGGTCAAAAGTTGGATGATGCCTTTATTGACATTGGGAGATTCTTGGAAACCGAATTTACACATCAGTTTAGGGCTTTATCATGCACCTGACTTTCTCACTAGTCCTCTTCAATGGTAAACGATAGATAGCCTGGGGAATTGTGCTCATTCCATGAGATGTCTCAAAGTTGGACAAAATTGTGATCTTGGGAAATCATCATCAAATAGATTCATCCTTTCATTTTTCTCATATGTTTCTCGTGACTTTCAGTGCTGGTACAGTGGAAGGAACATGTCAAGCAAAGTGATACAAGTGACACGTGTAACATCCTATGCAAAGCACGCATTTGATTCGATCGATCCCTTTCGCCATGCTTGACAGCGGGCACCAGATCGAGGTGCAATTGGTGGAATATATGTAGCAATTATGTCTAAGATGTATCAGAATAGAAGTACAGAAAAATTAATAAGAGTAACAATACTGTAAAAATATTTTGGATGCTATATAATTAGGACTAGAGCAACTATTATGTAAATATCATACTAGCTAGATATAATATAAATGAATGACTACAAACTATCTAAGCTAATAATTATTTTCTTGTAGACCAGTAATTTGCCTATGCTAGGCAATCCTTTAAAAACATTTTAAAGAATTGTAGAAGAGAATCTCTATAATCCTCACTCACTCCTCACTTTAGAATTCCACACTAGCACTCCCACACTCTAGAGGACTAGGGTATGGCATGTAATTTGTAAGGCAATTTATAATAAAGGACAACCTAATCTGGTGACAACTTGGTTGCAATGATGACAATCTGGTGGCAAGGCAAGACAACCAAAGACAACCTTTATCTCTTGGTTCCTTTATTGTGTTTAATCCCAACACCATCAAAGGGACTTCTTAAAACATGATATGTAAACTATTCTTTAGTCTTGTTTTTTATGCGTACATTTCTTAGCAAATTCTTGTAGGTGTAAAAGATAAAAATGAATAGGAGGAAGCAACTAGGGACCAGGGACCTGGAAGACAGCCTAGTGACTAGGCAAGACAACCAAAGACAACCTTAATCCCTTTGGTCCCTTTATCGTGTTCCCAACATCATCAGAGGGACTTCTCAAAACACACAGAAGATACATATGTAAGCTATTCCTTAGTCTTATTTTTTATGCATACATTTCTTGGCAAATTCTTGTAGGTGTAGAAGATAGAAATGAATAGGAAAAAGTGAATCAGACTTAGACTCCAACTTATATTCAGACTCTGATTATGAGCCTAATGCAATAATACATAATTTATAGTCATCCAAATGCTGGAATAATTTTTTTCCTTTGTATGTTTTTCCAGTTCATGGCATTTTTAGCACAAGTAGATTTCAGTTGCCCAAGTATTTTTGCCCTTTGGGTCTAGCTTAAGACTCTAAAGACCAAGACACTATACTCCATTTCCAATGAACTTGGAATTTCCCAACTAACATTGTAAAAGTATACAAGTCTCCCATGCTCTCGGAGCGGCAACTAGAAGAAGCAGCACGAATGGGCGGCTTCGCACAAGTATGTGTCTTGCTAATGCAACATGGAGAGGTGCATATTGTAGAATTCCCTCTAGTGAGGTACTTCAACATATTTGAATTAACATTCTAATGCATAAGTCTGGAACAACTTAGAGTATTGTTAAATTCTGTTAAGTAGCTGGGTATTGTTTCAGCTGATGGCAAATATGAGATGCTCGTGCAATACAGAACAATGCTACACTCTTCAACAAACAGCTTTCCAGGATACAATGACAAGTTGACAATATTACCAAGCCTTATACTCTTTGCTTTTGTTTTTAGCATATGTGTATAAGCTTTTTTTGTTGTAGCATATTGCAAGTTTGTATCCTATGGATTTTATGTGCAGACATTATCTATAATGCCACACACTATATAGTTGTATTTAAGCTAGTGACGATAAAAGAAGCCCATACAATTTTTAACACTTACATAAAAGCAATGAAGCACTTTGGGTGACCAAAATGCATTTGTAGTGATCATGCTAATGAACACAATGCTGTTGAGGCTAATGTGATTCAGGTTTGGGGTGTTGTAGCCTGACCATTCATTTGTGGCATCTCTACTTGAAACTAGGTGAGAAATGTTGTTTTCAAAATGAAATCTAATTTTTTTTTGCACTCATTTAGCAATGTATAGAGCATCTATAGTGGGAAGTTTTTGAATGTGCTATCTGGTATTATAAGTACATTTTTGAAGCAATGGAGGATGATGGTAATTTGCATAACATAAGCAAAGTCTACAATGTGTTCACATCATATTTGATGGATCTTTCAGATTGGGTAGCTACATTAGAATCATCATGAGGTTTGTGTATTTCAATCAATAGATAATTTTAGGCCCTCTCATGTACCAACAAACCTTTTCCAACCAATGGAATATAAATAGAAGTAAGTTCTCTCATTTTCATATTAACTAGTTTTTTTTTCCTTACATGCCATTAGTGTAATGTTGCTCTTGAAATAAACAAGTGTTACGAATGTAATTTTGGGTATTGAAAGGTATTTGTTAGCCAATCCTTATGGATATTTTTTCTTTACTGCCATAATGGCAAAAGTTTAGTATAGTTGAATCTTTTTATCGACCCATCTTGTACTAGTGGAGTTAATTGGACACCTTGAGTGTACTTAGATTAGATGAACATAAAGATGGAATTTCTACATGCTATTAACTAAGCATATTTAATAGTAAGGAATTCCTGTTTTATTGTATCTTGCATTGGTTAATGACAAATACCCTCACCTAATGAGTTTAGTCCTTTAATATTGCTATATGATAGCTTATTGTGTTCACTTTACCTGTTTCTGTTCCATATACTATTTATGATAATTGTTTAGATT